GAAGAAAAGGAACTCGATGTAATACTAAGTTACTAAAATATATTTCTTAAAAACAGTACAGATTGAGCATCCTTAATCTGAAAATTTGAAATTTGAAATGCTCTAAAATCTGAAACTTTTTGAACACTGATACTACACCACAAATGGAAATTCTACACCTGCCCTTATGTGATCAGTTGGAGTCAAAACAAGTCAAAAACTTTTTTTCATGCACAAATCATCAAACATATTGTATAAAATTACTTTCAGGTTATGTGTATAAGGTATAAATGAAAATAAGTGAAGATATATCTCATGTGTATGCAGATGTTTCAAAATCTGAAAAAATCATAATCTGAAACACTTCTGAACCCACACACTTTAGATAAGGGTAACTCAATCTGCAGCACTTTTTCATTCATAACACTGTTCAACTTTGATTTTTTTTGTGAATCCAGTTTTCTGTAACATAGTTTCTTTCAAGAAGCGATTTCTTGATTTGAATAGAAAATCATATTGTTTATTGGTTCAGAATTCAGTTTTACTTTAACGTATGGTTCAGACTACTCTGGGAGAAACTAAAGTTGTGTTGTATATTGGCTAAGAGTCTAAACTAGAGAGCCAAGACTACCTGGTTTGAAATTCTGATAAGGTTATTTACGTATAACCTTACTTACTTATAACTTCTCATAACCTTGGCCACATTATTGTAGGTCTCTGCTTCTCTGTTTCCTTATAGGTAAATTGGGGATAATAAAACCGTCTGTCTCTGGAGTTCTTGTAAGCCTTAAATGAGTTTATATACACAAAATGTTCCCAGAATGGTGCCTAGCACATGGTAGGCACTGAAGAAACATTAACTCTTATTAAGAAAACGTACTTTCATTTAGTAATGGCCCATGTATCTCAAACAGTTTGGCAAACTATGGCTACTTCCTGTTTTTATATGGCCCATAGGCTAAGATTGTTTTGTACATTTTAAATAGCTGAAAAAAAATCTAAAGAAGAATAACATTTGTGGTATGTGAAATTTTATAAAATTCTGTGTCCATAAATAGACACCTACTGGAACACAAATACCCTCACTTGTTGTTTGTATATTTTCTGTGACTGCTTTTACACAATGGCAGAGTTAAGTAGTTGCCACAGAGACCATATGGCCTGAAAGCCTAAAGTATTTACTCTACAGCCCTTTCCATTCAAAGGTTTTTCGACCCTGATCTAAAATAGACCAAGAATTTTAATAGATTGCCTAAATGTGGTGAGGGGGCTATTTTGGTGTAAAAGTAAATCTCATTTATAGTGTTCTATACATAGCATATCTGAATCAAGTGTTTGAAGATAAACCAGATTTTAAAAATACACCAATAATGAAAAGTCTGTTCTGAAAGGAAATGGTTTGTATGTACATTTAGCAAAATATTGATGATATATTTGTATTTGGTTTAAAGAAATAGTTCATCAAATCTTTAAACAAGGAAAATAAAAAAAAATTTTTTTGAGGAATCATGTTTGTTATGATCAAGCATTTGCAGGCTATTGGCTCCTTTTTCTAGTATCATTAATGAATAAAAGGTGGTCATCTTGGCTTTTGTAATTTGCTGCTTTTGCTCTGCTATATTCTGATAATAACAGATATTAGAACTGGGTATGAAATAGGAGTAAATCTATTTTTAAAGGCTTTACATTTAGGTCACTGGCTCTTAAACTTGTGTTGATAAGAATCACTTGGGATTCTTGTTAAATATAAACAGTATGGACCTCATCCCTTCTATATCAGAATGTGTAGAACAGTACTTCTAAAACCATCTGTGATGAAACAAACAATTCTTTCCCCAGTCTGTCATTATTATATTATTTATAATGTCTTTTGAAAAATATAATTAAAATAAATTACTAGAAAATTATAATAAAATGGAGAAATAAAACAAAGACATAAAAATTACAAGTCTTACTGTTTTACTGTTAAGATTCAACAGACATAAAATTACTCTGCCAGATTATTCTAAAAGTCTCCAGCACTCTCATTTCTCTACTTGTAAATCGACACTTGCCTGTGTACCACACTCTGAGAAGCACTGCTCTGGAGGATGCCTTAGAATTTGTATGTTTCAGAAGCACCCTGTGTGATTAAAATGCAGATATGGTATATGAGCCAAATTTTAAGACATACTGCTTTCAAGTTATATCTAAAAGTGAATGGCATTGCTACAGCCATAAGAAAAGCCAGGGGCTTTTGAATCTTGCTGTATTTTTGTATTTCTGGAAAATAAGAAAATATTCTGGAAAATAATAATTTGGGTTACTGAAAATGTGCCCTCCAGATAAGTTAGATGTTACTACACAGAACTAAGTGTGTTTTGTAGAAGATTTTATTTGACTGCTGTAATTTTTCCAGATAAGTAGCCTTTTTCTAATTAAGCCGTATTTGTGATTGAACTCATTTTTAACCTAATGATGTCTTTACAGAGGCTTGTCTCCTGCAGAAGCAGAATTTAATTACCTAAACACAGCACGTACCTTAGAACTCTATGGAGTAGAATTCCACTATGCAAGGGTAAGTGAAGAAAACTTACTTTAATGTTGTTGAATCATGCTCCATTACTTAGTATCATATTTTTTAGGATTAGGTAACAAGTGTAATAACTTCTGATTGCTGCCCAACATAGTTGCACTGAAATTTTTTTCTGAATATAATTATTTTCATAATAACTTAAGATTGAATATCTGATGAGAAGGGTGGTTAAAGTGGATTCTTCATGTTATTTTTGTTTAAGGTGGTGGGTTTTTTTTTTTTTTGAGACAGAGTCTCACTCTTTTTGCCCGGGCTAGAGTGGGTGCCGTGGCGTCAGCCTAGCTCACAGCAACCTCAAACTCCTGGGCTCTGCCTCAGCCTCCCGAGTAGCTGGGACTACAGGCATTCACCACCATGCCCGGCTAATTTTTTCTATATATTTTTAGTTGGCCGATTAATTTCTTTCTAATTTTAGTAGAGGCGGGGTCTCGCTCTTGCAAAGGCTGGTGTCGAACTCCTGAGCTCAAACAATCCGCCCGCCTCGGCCTCCCAGAGTGCTAGGATTACAGGCATGAGCCACCGCGCCTGGCCTGAGGTGGTGTTTTTTGTTTTAAGATAATTTTTGCAGACCATGAGAGACAGTACCTTTAGTATATTTATTTTAAAAAATAAAGGTTATCAGAAAAATGGTTTTTATGTACTTTTATTATAATCGTGATGATAAAAGTTCTCACAGCACTGAAGCCTGTATTATTGCACTTAATTTTCATCATTTAGTGGCATTATTATACATTTTTATTTAAAAAGCTCAAAATGGATCATACCAACATATTATCATATTTTGGTTTTATCTCTCCTGCATCTCTTTATTAAAATGGAATTTGTAATCATTGGCTTTTTCTGTACAACAATCTGTAACTTCTTTTTCCTTGTGTCACACTTTGCTGGCTTTGCAAGACTATTATCCTCCTGCCATAAGCCTATTTGTGAGTGGCTGTGATTCATTGTGTGTCCACCTATATTCCTTCTCATGATTTCTTTATCAGAAGGTTACATTTTTTTCGAAGTACTTGGATTACAGCTATTCTCCATAACCAGTGAAAAGTGGAATTATAGATAATAATAGATTGAGTTGATCATAGGGTTTGTATTCTCTTGGGATAAATTATTAAGCCTAATAAGTATATCAGCCTGAAAGGGAAAGATTTTTCTTAGATAATTATTTTGAATTTATTTCAATACGTGGACACTCACAGGTACACAGGCAAATAGTTGTTTAAGTACTCAAAGTTCTATTTCATATAATGGTTTTATACTTACTTAGGACCTCACCTGACCATGTTCTTGGAGGGGAGCTTTAGTTTAGTTCGTTCTTGTGTTTCATAAAGCCTATGTCAATCTCTCCTTTAAAAGACCAGATGACTTGTTTTCCTTAAATGATTATATCTTGTAATTCTGAGTGTTTTTCTTATTGCATTTAAAATGTGTCTCTCACAAACTTTTTGTTTTCTTTAAAATATGCCCCTTTGGCTGGGCACAGTGGCTCATGCCTGTAATCCTACCACTCTCAGAGGCTGAGGCAAGAAGATTGCTAGAGCCTCAGGAGTTTGAGACCAGCCTGAGCAAGAGTGAGAACCTGCCTCTACTAAAAATAGAAACAATTAGCTGGGTGTAATGGCTCATGCCTATAGTGTCAGCTACTCGGGAGGCTGAGGCAGAAGGATCGCTTGAGCCCAGGAGTTGAGGTTGCAGTGAGCTATGAAGACACCACTGCACTCTACCCAGGGCAACAGAGTTGAAACTCTGTCTCAAAAAAAAAAAAAAAGATATGCTCCTTTACTGTCCTTCTTTATTTGGGGCCTGTTACTTTTGAACATGATTCTCCAGAATGTAATGTAGTGATCAATATTTGTGCACCTAGAGTTTGTTTTTTATCATAATAAAGTTTAAAACTGATGGAACCTTAAGTATGTGAATTAAACTGTGGTTAAAAATAAAAAGACAGCCAAAATTAGTTGTTTTAGTCCTTAATGGTTTTCTAAATGCAATTTTATATTTGCAGAGATTGCCATCAATGAAATACAAAGAGTGTTAGACTTTCCTTTTTTACATTTAAATAACAAGGCTAGATCTCATACATAATTCACCATATTGTTATTTATTAATTTGATTAAGGTAGGTTTTTTTTGTTGTTTAAATTATTATATTATAAAACTGTTTCTCAGCC